ACGCTGGTGTTCCACAAGGCTGCGTGCTATCACCAACACTGTTTCTTCTGCATATCAATTATATGATGCAAACCGGTAACATTTATTGCTATGCTGATGACAACACTGGTGATGCTCTATATGATGGCCATGCCAGTATTTCTCGGCAAAACGTCGCTGAGTACTGGAACAAAACTTAATAATGTCTGAAGTGAAGTCTTTGCTGAACAAAGTCTCGGTTTGGGGGCGACTAAATCTAGTCCATTTCAATCCCCAGCAGACAAAAGTATGCGCATTTACCGCTATGCTGCCTCAGCTAGCATCGAAATCCTCGGAGTTAACATACCGAATAGTTTGCAGTTTCATGGTCACTGGAAGGGAACGCCAAATTGGCCTCTAAGAAGCTTAGCGTGTTTAGCAGAGCGGGACAGTATTTCATGTCGGCATATCGCTTGCAACGTTACAAAGCGCAAGTTTGGTCTTACATGGAATACTGTTCTTATTTCTGGGCCGGGGCACCTCAGTGCCAGCTCCTTACACTTGATCTTATCCAGCGCAGAACGGTTCGTATCTTTGACGACCGAGTTCTTTCGGATTGGCTGGATTCACTGGCGCTGTGTAGGGATATTTCATCCCTTTGCATTTTCTATCACATCTCCCACGGGGAGTGCTCTAAGGAATTGTTCGGAATAACTCCATCCGCCAAATTTCACGAACGCACATTGCGTTAAAATTCGCTATTCCATCCTCACCATCTGAATGCTTGGCGATCCACCACTGTGAATTTTACTAGGAGTTATCTTCCTCGTACAACTTCTATGTGGAATGGTTTACCACCAGTGATTTTCCTGACCGATACGACTTAGGGACTAACAAGAAAAGAGTTTTCTCTTTTCTAAAGGGCTGGCAATGCACCTGCCATTACCTTGGGAGTTGTGGTTTTTCATGGACGGCGGTAGTCACTTACCATCAAGTGAACCGCATGCTCGTTTGCCGCCTCTTATATAAAATATACTTAATATAATCATATTTACGACATGACTATGTATATTATAGACTAGAATATATATATATATATATATATATATGATTTAAAAATTGTGCCTAAAGGAGAAAGAGACCTCTCCATACAGTCTTGGGCCGAAGTGTTAACAAGATGAAAGTAGGACCATTTGAAAGCGTACATACTCGTATAAACAATTCATAGCTAAAAAGCTGACACGATGTGTCAATCTAGCAGCTGAGTTATTGTAGAATAAGTAAAAGTGTGATTATCTATTACCTACACTGTAACAGGTAATTTTTCACTGTCACTACACTGTAACAGGATATTTTTCACCATAATTACTTAAAGATCTAAAAGCAGGATCAGTATAAAATCACCAAAAAACCTGTGGTTAATAGTGGAAAGAAATGGTGAAACGATTAACGAAAGTTAAAACAACAACAACTAAGTGCAGTGAATATTAGGGATATCGATCTGAGATCGATTACTTGAATTGTTGTTGTAACTGTTACTTGTTGGCATTTTGATATTTTGTATTTTTATTATTATTTTGCAGATATGTTCGCAACTTTTTATCTCCCTCGTTAACACAGAAAAATAATCTAAAATAGATATTAGAATCGTTCGTTCGTTTCAAATCGAATAAAAAATCTGTCTTTTTCTTTTAAGTATATAGTTTGAAGTAACATAGCGTTCAGAAACAATAATTTCACTAGTGTATTATTTATGGTAATCGATTTATTGCCATAAATAATACACTACAATCGATTTTCTAACTTATTTCTTATTTTATTGTGTTATCGAAATCTAGATTGTAAAAAGAGCTACTTTTTTGTATTTTACTTAAGAAAAATGTGGGCAATTTTTTTTTAAGTTCAGACCCAAAAATCCCATTCTTCTTTTGGGCAGTAAAAAAAAAGTCTGCTACATTTTTAATCTGCTTGTCTTAAATATCATATTATTGTTTGGCGCAACCGCAGTTTTTATTTTATTTTTATTCAGATGTTATCTCAAAGATTCTGCTGCATGTCTCCTGGTTCAGTATCTCTACGACGCCTCTTCGCGTCGTCTCCAGCGGGATGTATACGTATCAACAGAATCTAGGTATATTTTATGTTTCATCAAATATCTATAAATCTGTGAAGAATTTTCTGATATAGTAAATGTAAAAATGAAAGGTTATTTTAATAACTTTAATAAAAATTAAAACTATTTTGTAATTTTTTGGTTCTAAATAAAAATGTAATTAACGTTAAATGTAGACGTCTATAGGCTACAGCATCCACTTACCATAAATTGGACTATGTGCTCGTTTTTCACCCTTATTCTATAAACAGGAGTAGTAGCAATGTAAAGATATATTAGTAAAATAAATTACTTCATCTGCTTTGGTAGGTCAATTATTTCTTTATTTAGGAAAATCGTTAACAATATTTAGTTAAATATTTATACACATATTTCTAATATAAGTACATGACTAAAATGGACTACAAAACGAAACAAATTAATTACACTCATCATGTTGATAGCTTTTTATTTGCAACTAAGAATCCAATTTCATAACTTTATTTACAAATATAGGCCTTTTTATTTAGGCATGTCTTAATTAAAAACTATCATAATAATATATGTTTCAAAATGTTCAGGTTTTTCAATAACACTAAAATTGTTTGCGCTTATAAAATTTTCAAATGTCTTAAGAAATAATCTCAGAACAATAATAATACCTAAAATACTTGTATATATATAGAGGTCAGTGCTAAAACATAATTATTGTTCAGAGTAAATAATTTTGAAAGAAATAAAACTTAAAGTATAAGAACATGCACATTTGTTGAAACACTCTTTGACAGTCCCTTAGAGTATATAATTACAGTAGTATAGAGCGCGTATATTGCACAAATTGATTAGTACGCATCGTAAGTAAATGAGCTGTAGATATGGAGTATAAAGTAGAAGGAGGACCATCTCTGTATAAGAATAAGTATCCGTAGAAACGCGTCCAATAAGGGTAGCGCTGCGGTAGCATAGGATAAATTAAAAAAAAAAAAGCGCCAAAGGCAATTAGAAATAGATGGAGAAATAAATAAGGACCAACCAATCCGCTTGGTTCTGTACTACGTAAATAGTTGAGATTTTGTATACTGGCATTTTACTTACTACTCTCATCATGAATTTTTTTAAATATTTCAATTCAGCTTACTTCACTCCGTCTACAACAGCTATATTCGTATCGTAGTTTTTCAGGTGCCAGCACTATTGTGGTAGGTTTTGGAACCTCTATTTTCAATATATAGTTGGATACAGTTTCAAATTTCCCCCCATATGAGATGGTTCTCCTTCTACTCTATACTATAGATACTTATATTGATGAGTGTATGACAGACAGAGATGTATCAATTACGTGCCGATGTGCAACGAGCTATCGATAAGTTATGTGAATAAATATCTTTGTTAGATGCTTTTTATGTTTAATATATTATTTCCTTTACTATTAAACGAGAAATGTTTGTTTAGTTATTCATATGTTTGTTTCTAATCACGAATCAATTATGTGTAATATAAATGTCCGAAAATCGTTTTGACTTGTTAAGTAATAAGGTTTATAAAATGAAGGATCATGTTTAGTGTTTATTTTATATTAGTAAATCAAATAATAATAATATGTTATTTACATGAACTATATTGAATTTCAACATTTTCAATCAAACAACATCATTATTTTACAAATCCATAATCAGACTTATTTATATTAAAAAATATTTGAGTATTAAATTACATAAATATAACATGTGGCTCTCCCAGCAAACATTTCCAAAATATATTCAATATCGACTACAGAGTTGATCACGTCACATCACTACAGTCTCGCGTGGGTAGCGTGGTGCGCGAGGGGCTTATGCATGCCCGCCTCTCACGTCTCCCTCCCCGTCCCCCTCGATGCTTGATTTGTTTTCATAAAAATAAGTATAAAAATCGATTTATGTTGTGTGTGTTTCCTAGTATCGTTTATGCATAATCGAACTGCACATTTGACCATTTTGATACGTAAATATGAAAAAAAAAAATCTGGAGGACCGCAAACTGGTAGCACTCAACACCGACTACAAGTACTCGAGTTAGGTCGTGTTGTTGTCACCCGTGCCTACTGTTACCACTTCGTTGTGTGCGCTCTGTACTATTGTAATTAATCTAAGTTCTAATCAGAGTGAGCGCGAAAATGAAATCTTCGTACAAGCGTCTCGCAAAGCATACACACAAGCTCGCGGTTCACCTACAGTAGTAGACGGAGAAAATATTGTAATACCAACATCGTTAGTAGTAAATATCGCGTTATTTTTATTGTGTGCTACTGTAGGTGAAATCTCGATTTTGTGTGTGCGTTGCCGGACACGTGTATGTATCTCCAGCTTGAGATATAAGTAAACAAAATTATTTACATTTAATATATATATATATATATATATATATATATATATATATATATATATATATATATATATATATATATTATCTACATTTATGTAGCATAAATATAAATACATAAATGCAGGATGTCATCCTAAACCTTAGAGTAAGAACATGCATATTTGTTAAAATACTTTTTGACTGTCTTATCAGTATGAACGAGAATGCGGAATCTTTGTACAAGCGTCTCGTAGAGCACGAACATAAGCGCGTAGTTCACCTACAGTAGCAGCCAGAGAAAATATCGTGATGCCCACGTAGTTAGTACTAAATATCGCGTTATTTTCATTGGCTACTTTAGGTAAATTTTGCGATTGTGTGTTTGCGTTGCAAGACGCGTGTATGAATCTTCTGCAGTTTCGTTCACTGTGTCCCTGTCAAAAATACGCAAGTTTTCGTAAAGGGCAAACAAGTTATAATATCGGATTTTGAAAAAAAAATGTTTTGTGACAAATTACCTATCTTTATGTAGTGTGATCAGAACTTAAATCCACAAATGCATTTGCAAAATCTTCCATTTGACTTTTAATTTGACAGGTATTTATCGTTATGTTTCAGATACAGCAGATATTCCCTCAGCCTGGGTTGAGCACTGCTTATGGGCTTGACCCGCTTTTGGCACCAGTACTAATTGCTCCAGATCACCCTGTTGTGAAAGCATACAAAAAGTTTTTAATTTATAATAATTATATTATACTGAAATAATATAAACATATTTTTTTTTGAAGAAAACACAATAAGAATATTATACATTTGTTACAAAAATAGTAACATCCATAAATATTTTCTCCCATATAGTGGAGGCGTTTACACAATATAAGTTGCGCTATAAACACTCAGACATGGAATAATTAATTGCAGGCCATACTATAATACTATAATACCTAGGTACTTTGTCGTGCGAGAATCGAACCTGCAGCCAAAAATAAGGTTAAGAAACCCTTTATCACTAAGCAGCCATAAACTAACAATCATAATATGTAAATTTGCATAATGAAATGGTAGCAAAACAACGTAGTCAGGTGGTTTAAATGCTCAAAGTACTTTAACGCCAACCATGTCTTACCACGGAGACTACTAGTTAAAACACTTTTAGATTATTTGATTGTTTTTTTTTAACGTTTATCAATGAAAATAACCATAAAATGTTCTATAAAGTAAAAAATTATAAACTATAGTTTAATATCCTTGACAGATATGTAATGAAAAATAATAATAATAATGTCCTCCAGATCGAATTATCGTCACGGCAGCCAGTTTTTACGGTGACTAGCTAACAACAAATTAATATCAAACTTAAATTATATTTTTATTATGTTGCATTATATATGAAATAAGTCCCTCTGAATTCATAAATACATAGTGATAGTACGATAAAGTTATAAAGCCGTTTGCGAAGCCTGTGTTAATATTTACGATGTCCTTTTCCGTGCGCCTTTTGTAATTTTATTAAAAAAAGCTCCCACTTACCGAGAAAAGATAGCCTATAATAAGATCGGCATCCCTCGGTGTATCTAAAGCATCTTTTTCAAGGACATCTGTTCTCAGCCAACGACAATCTACGTAAACACGGACCGTGTTGTCATCTTGAACGCTATTATAAACAAAAAGAATTTAATCACTTTTCCATTGCTAACAAAAATAAGTATTTGAGAAAATTTTATCCAATTATTAAATAAAAAAACGATGCACAAAATACCAACGTAAAATAGAGGCATAATAAAGAGTGATGAGTGATGAAACTAGATACTCTTTTCATTAGTAAAGAGGCATCCCATCTGGTCCTTAAGGCTGGCAATAGGCCTAAATATTCTTTTGTTTTTGTTTTTTTTTTTTAAAACGTTACCTCCACACTAGGATTTTCTCCTGTATCGGGGGGACAGTTTACAAACATATTATATTGCACAAGGATAAACATCCTAAATTAAGAATAAATATTTATTCTTAATGTAGGATTTTCTATTTGATGAATAGTGTGCTCGCCACCCTACACTCAAAATAAAAATTAAATTTTAAAATGTCCCAAAAATTACATTTCTCCAAATGTAAAAAATATGATCTACGCTACAAAGTTAAAAACTCTTCATGTAATATGATAATATTAAATCACATACATAGAAAAGATACTGGTCAATAACTATAATAATAGCAATCACTTTTTATGAACGATATAATGAAATGAAGAATTCAGCTATTATCAGTAAACCTAAATACGAAAAAACGATTGATGAAAGTACGCGATATATGGTCGGCCAAGAAACTTACCTTACTAATTTTCAATTTAAAAATGATTACCATTATTATAAAACCTTAAAAGCAGTGATTTAATACACTATAATAAAGGAATTATTGTTGCTTATACATAGCGCCTCTTAAGGTGGTTTCTAAATTTGGGTGGTCAGTAGTCACGACTCGCTATTTATTTAAAAAGTAAACGGTGTTTGTTTTTTATTTCAATCTTTGTACATCATCATCGTTACAGCCCTTCACAAGTCCACAACTGAACATAGGCCTCCCCCAAGAAATGCCACAAAACACGGTCCTGAGCAACCTGCATCCATCGACTTCCTGCATGTCTTACCAGGTCGTCACTCAATCCAGTCGGGGGACGCCCTACATTTCGTCCGCCGGTACGAGTCCGCCGCTCGAGAACTTTTCCCCATCGTTTGTCGGTTCTATATGGCCGGCCCATTGCCACTTCAGCTTACTAATCCGTGGGCTATGTCGGTCACTCTGGTTCTACTGCGGATATCCTCATTTCTAAGTTTATCACGCAGAGAAACTCCGAGCATAGCCCTCTCCATAGCTCGCTGAGCAACCTTGAGCTTCCTCATCCAGCCAGCAGTGAAGGACCACGTCTCAGTTCCATATGTCATCACTGGCAACACGCACTAGTTGTACAGTCTCGTTTTCAAGTTTTGAGGTATACCTGATGAAAAGATGTGCCGTAATTTCCCGAACGCTGCCCAACTGAGTTGAATGCGTCGATTGACCTCTCGGTCAAAGTTGGACTTACCTAGTCGGACTATTTGTCCCAGGTAAACATATTCGTCAACAACTTCGATCTTAGTGCTCCCAACAACTTCGAGCTTAGTGCTCCCAACAACTACCGGTATAGGTGTGACATGGACATTAAACATGATCTTTGTTTTGTCCATGTTCATCTTAAGACCTGCTTAGGTCCTCCAGCGATTCTGCTATAAGGACTATATCGTCGACAAATCAAAGGTGAGTGATGTACTCGCCATTGATGTTAATACCGTTTCATTTCCAGTCCAGAAGCTTGAAAATGTCTTCCAATGCAGCGGTGAAGAGATTCGGGGATATAATGTCACCCTGTCTTACACCTCTCTGCAATTGCATAGGTTTCGTACTCTGGTTTTGTACTCAGATAGCCATCGTAGCCCTACTGTACAAGCACTTCAGCACTTCGAAATACCGACAGTAAACTTGGCACCGCTGAAGGGACTGCAGCACCGCCCAAATTTCGACGGAATCAAAGGCTTTCTCATAGTACACATACGCAAGAAAAAGTTGCAGATTATACTTTTCTGTCTTCTGTACAATTTGCCGAAGGGTGTATGTAGTCCATGGTACTAAAGCCTTTTTGGAAACCGGCTTCTTCGGGAGGCTGGAAGTCGTCAAGTCTGCGCGCAAGACGATTTGTAATGACTCTGGAAAACAGCACGTAGACGCGGCTCAGAAGGGAAATCGGTCTGTAGTTCTTCAAGAGAGCGTTGTCACCTTTCTTGAAGAACAAGACCACCGCACTTCTGCTCCACGCCTCCGGTGTAATGCAACCATGGAGGACGGAATTAAAGAGCTTCTGAATGACTTCAAGTACCGGTTTTCCACCCGCTTTCAGAAACTCCGCTGTAATTCCATCCTCACCTGGGGCCTTGCCGTTTTTAAGGTTCTGGAGAGCCATTCTAATCTCGTTTAGACTGACGTCCGGGATATTATCAGAATAGTGTCAGATTAGATCTTAACTGTGGAAACTTTATTGTTAATTGTAAGATTAATATGTGTTATGTATTAGACTAAAATTATGTATGTTTCCCTTGAAAATAAAATAAAATAAATAAAAAATTAGACTCTCCCTTGGATCGTTACTCACACTTGCGTGTGGCTCCAACGATGATGTGTACAGCTGCCCATAGAACCTCTCAATCTCACTCAAAATTTCAGGTGTCCCGGAAACGAAGCTGCCGAACTCGGTCTTCAGCTTCGACAGTTGGCTCTTTCTGGCAGACAGATCTCTAGCAAAGACTTTGGAGCCCTGGTTCCGATCGATCGCTTCTTCAATATGAGCAGTATTAAATTTGCTCAAGTCCCGCCGCATGCATTTGGAGATCTGTCTGGTCAGTTGCCTGTATGCTGTCAAATCTACTGATGATTGCAGCTTCATATCCCGTCTAACAGCCATGAGATTAAGAGTGTGATCGGAGAGTTTTTGTGTTCTTTTCTTCTGCGGCGGGTCTTGCAAAACTTAGCTCCGACCGCATGGACAGTTTCCACGAGCTTGTCATTCATATGAATGACAATCTTTGTACAATATAGATTAATGACAAGACCGTAATGTGGCGCCTTAAAGTCTTTAACTAACTTCACTGTTGTGTGACTTTTTAATCTCTTTTGATTTAATGTAGTATTGTTATGCAAATAAAATAAATATTTTTTATATATTGGCTTAATTTCATAATCTTTACCCTATTAATTTATTTATATTTATATATGTTTATATATATATAAGTAATCATTTAATTAAAAATATAGAATTTTAGAATATTAATTATTAATACCTTATAGAGATGTGATGCCACCTAAAGTCATAAAGTGGCACTGCTAAATAAATGGAGCGCGATAGTCCAGCTCCAGCATGAACTAATCTGGCGGAACCTCGTCCTGCAAGCTCTAAAGACAGGAAGGAACCAGACCGGCGGCGGGCTCGTAGTGAAAATAATGTGCCTTGGCCGTAGCCACCGCTCTAGAAAAATAAAAGTAAATACTTTAATATATTTCTATGAAAAATTGTTATGTGGTGAGAATTTATTACCCCATTTCGTCCCATAGGTGTCATAAGAGATGACTATAGGAAATGAAACAGGAGATGGGCGCATCTTTTGAATATAACTCAGAATAATAAAAAATAACTATGGTTGCCGACCCGCCCACCAAGCATGGCAACTATGGTAATAAATATCCCCGCTTTGAGGCAATCTGTGGGGGAGACTTGTATTCAGCAGTACTTGTATTCTTGTATTCTTTAATGATGTTATGAATTAATGAATGAATTCTATAAGATCGTTGATTTCGTGGTCTCGTGAATGACTTATAATAAAAAAATAAAAAAATGATGTTTACCATCATTGCAACTCTAAATATTGTAAACAAAAAGTTACCAGCTGCGCGCCAGATTATTATTGCTACTAAAGATAATATATTATACGCCAGTTGTACGCAAAAAACGCAGTTATTCACGATTCTGTATCCGATGTGACGCTTATATGATGCTCGTAATAGCGGAGCCTATAAGACTCAATGCAATTACTAGGAAAAAATCCCAATAAACATTTGCAAAATATCATCATCATCATTGCAGCCCTTCACAAGTCCACTGCTGAATATAGACCTCCCCCAAGGAAAAGGCAAACATGGTGCTGAGCCACCAGCATCCATTGACTTCCTGCATGTCTTACCACGTCGTCACTCCATCTAGTGGTGGGACGACCTACACTTCGTCCGCCGGTACGAGGCCGCCACTCGAGAACCTTTTTTCGCCATCGGTTGTCGGTTCTTCGAGCTATATGGCCGGCCCATTGCCACTTCCGCTCACTAATTCGTTGGGCTTTATCGGTCACTCTGGTTCTACTGCGGATATCCTCATTTCTAAGTTTATCACGCAGAGAAACTCCGAACATAGCCATCTCCATAGCTCGCTGAGCAATCTTGAGCTTCCTCATCCGACTAGCAGTGAAGGACCACGTCTCAGTTCCATAGGTCATCACTTGCAACACGCACTGGTTGTACAGTCTCGTTTTCTAGTTTTGAGGTGTACCTGACGAGAAAATGTGCCGTAATTTCCCGAACGCTGCCCAAACAAGTTGAATCCGTCGATTGACTGAATTTTGAAATTAGATCGAAGTTGGACTTACCTAGTCGGACTATTTGTACCAGGTAAACATACACGTCAACAACTTCGAGCTTAGTGCTCCCAACGTGTGACATAGACATTAAACATGATCATTGTTCTGTCCATGTTCATCTTAAGACATATCCGTTGGGAGACACTATTGAGGTCATTGAGCATTTTTATTAGATCTAAGACTATAAACATATTAAACTATAAGCACCATTCACCGGCTCTTTTATTCGAAGTCAATATTAAAAAAATAAACCATATGAATAGTTACTATGAAAATTTACAAACCTCTGGTCTTAATCTCAATGATACAAATAAAGTGAACTCAGACGGAAATGTCTTCCCAGCTGCAAAAAGCTCCGATGATGCAATCCAGATGTATGAATTTGGTTTTAAACTAAACGCATGTGGTCGGTCTGGAACTGACCCCCAACGGGCTTGCGTCGGATGGAAATTTTGTCTAGCATCCGGCGCTAGAGGATTTATTGTTCCTAAATCAAAAAAATAAAATCAATTTAATTACTTGCGTAGGTAATATTCCTTTTTGAATTCATATTTTATATGTAAATAATATATTCAAGTAATAAAATGTAAATAATTAATAACATTTTTTTATATTTCGAACCTTGACAGTCAAATGTGTTACATGAACGGCCTTGTTCGCTGTAACCCTCGCAAGTGGTTTTAGAGCAATATCTCCTTCTGTCTTGTCTTCCCCCTCCACAAGTTTTACTACAAGGTCCCCACTCTCCCCATCCCGCCCAACCTGAAAATATTTACTGCCTAATTGCTGTTTGCGTTAAATTCGATAATCATCAAAAAACAATCAAAAGTTGACTTAATACCTAAATGTTTCTTTCTTTAATAAAATATATTTATTTGTTCATTTATTGTTTTATATTTCGAATATATACATTTAATAGAATCTAAAGCAATCTTATATCGCCTGTGAGTTTTTGCAGGTTAATCTCCACAATGAACATTTGTCTATAGATTTATATAAGACGATTTTATTATATTTATGTGAAAAAGTAAAGCGACAATGAGTGCGTAAGTGTATTATTTGACGTAATTAAGAAGTTTAACTTGTACACAACACAGTTTCATTAATTTATATAAGCAGAATACGTAGATGAAACATGTTGGCACGCATGAAATCGCGGGCACTGCTAGTGTGAAAAAGGTGTAAGTCGTGTAATAATGAAATTAGTTGAAACTTATAGTGCTGATCTAGTGTATATGATAACATAATGAGAAAAATTACGTTTTAGGAAATCATGGCAGACTCTTTCCTGTTCCATAAACCTCTTTAAAAATGAAAGGAGGCCTGTCTCTTAACAGTGAGATGTATATAGGCTACTACTTTACTTTCATTCGACACTTGTTTTTGTATTTATATCAATTTGATTTTATATGATGAGAAAAAGACAATAATTTTCTATTGAAAAATTAAGCTATGAATACAAATAAAAATAATGAACGTATTCTCAATTTCCGATGCTAGCGCAACAGTGAGTTATTATGTAAGATTGTAACTGCATGATTAACTTTATTTTTTCAGTTATATAATAAAAAAATCATAATCAAATAAAAATATGTACTTGGAAAGGTTTAAATTTAAGTTACAGCGAATATCGGTCCCACTCCTGGGACCAGGCCTCCTCTTATCACTGATCCACCACGCTGCCCCAATGCGTGTTGGCGGACTTACACATGTTTGCGATTATTTTTTATTTCTCAGATATGCAGGTTACTCCATTGTTTTCCTTGACCACTGAACACGTGGTAAGTCAGCACTTAAAATTTCTATTAAGAATTTTATTGCCAGCGTGCATCTAATTCCGATTGCTGACGTACTGTGTAATTTACAAAGAGCACTACAATAAAAATTACTTTAGGACCTACGTAGAAAGTATGCGCAGGAATTACACAACTTATCATCCCTTTTCCACTATCATTTTACAAGACGCATGGTTTTCCTTTCCATCGATATGGGTATACTACCTATATACTGATGCGTGATAATTTACTAAGGATTGGAATAATTTGCATGCATCAGCTATTCTCCGAATACAGTGTGTCTATTTTCATGAAGAGTGAATTTAGATATTGACTATGCTGGTAATCTTCACCATCCAAGACTGGACGTATTTTACCAAACTGTACTAAAGTACCATGTAAGAGATTTCTCTGTTTCATGGCGGTCATAATATGAAAGAACATCTGTGTCATTTAATAGAAGGTGTGATAGTCTATTCTATACTAAAATTAAATGATAATGTTCTGATTTGATGAAAAAAAATTAAAAACTAGGTTAAGGATACTAGGATACTAATATAAACAATAAATACAATATAACAATCAGAACAGTGATGTTATGATTCACATAAAAAAAATTATGTTTTGACTGACATACCAACAGCATTCCAGATGGCGATATCGACTCCTAAACTCCATGGTACCGAGGCTGATGTAGCTTCTAGCCATGGCCCGTCAGCAGGTGTTGTTTCCAAATCTTCAGCTGGATCGCTAATCCTTGCAAATATAACAAACTCACTCTGAGACGGCGCCATGCTCCAGTTGAAGCACCCTTCTAATTGGGGATTGATTTTCAAATTCACCTGTCTAAGAAAAATATAATTAATAACCAGTGTGAAAAGATATTATTTTAGCTAAAAGTTTGGCACATCTACTAGTTCGAGTTTTGATTTATTCACAGGCTGGGTTACAGTTATTACACTTTTATTTTAATTATTTTTTTCCTCAATCACAACATAACAATGTGGATCACTGTTTCGGGCTGATAAAGAAGGATATCATACATTAGTCTGGTATAAAGCTTCTCCCACAATAGGGTACAGATCGCTTACTTTACTAAAAATAATATAGACTAGTTCCTTCACGATGATCCCTATTCAATTCAGCCATGTGACCTTAACAAAAGAAATACCTTAATCAAAATTTCTATAAAACAGGTATTTATCCTTAATAAAGCTTTTATATTGAAGTCTATTTAAACTTTATAAAATATTAATTGTTGTTTTCATCTTGCTTCACCCTTGTTAATGAAACAATTTTAAGAGATATTATTTTATGATCGTGTAATTGAAAATATATTTTTAATTTTGGTTGAAGCATATTTATCTTACATTACTTCCCTTAAATTAAATAATATGAAAGCAACCTGCTTTCGACTCAGGTTAAGATAACGTTGAAATTTTTATTAAAAAAAAATTGTGATATTATACAATGAAATATATTTCAAGAATATATGAATTCTGCCTACAACGTATCGTGTTTAAATATTACGACCTTACCCTACCCTTTACCTTCGCAATAGAAGGAGTCCGTCATATTAAGTGATGTCTAACACTATTTCTCATTCTAAGCTTGTGATGCTTACTGACAGATATTACTTTTTTAAATTATATTTCAAATTATTTAACATAATATTTGAATGATGGACATATATTATGTCCATGTCTCATCCTTGGACCACAATCAAAGTGCTAGATAGACATGACGATGCTAAGACTCGTAAGCATTCGTATCACGCAGCACTTTTGCGGAGAAAATTTAATTATACGGATCGCGATCTTGCCGAGAACTTTGTTTGTTTAATTGAGTTCCCTGCTAATCTTCAATTGCTTCCAAGAAGTTCAATGAGAGATACTCCTAAGACATAAGTATGTTGGTCTGCTATAATTTAATTTTATGTTATTTACATTAAACATGTAAAGTAAGCAAATCAATTAGAAACACGCTAATTTCAATTTTTTAGTTTGTCTAGTTAAATAGGTTATAATTCAAAGTGAATTCTTTCATAAAATTTAAGTAGTAAATGAGCTTAATAGTTCATCTTATCTAAGTGACTACTGCCGTCTACGAATATTTGCATACCTAATTATACTGAATCTCTTTACCTTTTAAAGCAGAACATAAGAAGGAATGCACTGTCGTTGGGTGGTATAAATAAGGAGGAAGGTGCTATCTACTTAGACGGACACGAAACATTATTTAAATAAATTCTTATAGTAGATGGTGTCAATAAGAAAAAGTCATATTAATGTTATATTAGCACTGACTAACACTTGACTGACTAACACTAACACTGACATGAGAGAACTAATTATAGTATCATAAAAGTTGAATTTTGAAAATATGAGAAAAGTCTAAATACAATTGGCAAATGGGAAACAAATGATGTTTGTTAATTTGCCTTACCTATTCTTAAAATACGTACTTTTTGAGACACACAAGTTTCTTTATAGGGAGTAACCATCTTTAAATACCAAATACAGTTTGGCGATTTTTTATAACCTTAAAAGTAATAAATAAGCTCTCTGTCTACCTGATAGCATGTTAGCCTTGTGGTGGCGGCGTGGCGTAAAACAATCCGTCACCACAATTCATCCTAAGAGGCAAATAAACTACAGATGCGTTGTAAATACCCTATTTCGTGGTTATAGTGGGTGTGTCGCGTTACATGGTAAGAGGTGACAATTGAAATGCCATAATGATCTGATGGCACCAATACATAGCAGTATAACCATTTCGTATATGCCATACTTAAAATTCTTAAACCATCTATAGGAACTAGCGTCAAACATTCAATACATCTCACATAATATGCTAGCTAAACAGAGTTAACATGGCAAATCCTCATTACAAAGGCCAATGCACAGCAGTGGACTGTTTTTTGCTGATTATAAAGATCCAGGGACTGATTTTTAACATATATAATATAATTACAAATTAAATTTGATAATTTAAATTTATTCACTTAATGTTTAAATACACATTCCTTACCTATCTGTAGTATTGTACGGTGAGCCGGAATATTGACTTACAGATGCTAGCTCGATTCCGCCCCTATAAATTGACACTAGCGCCAAGTCTAAAGTTTTACTCTGTAACAAAAAAAAAGACAAACTTAATACTGACATCGAAAAATTGCTTTCAAAAAACATCACGAAACGACCTGTCGTTTTGTACTTTTTGTGTTGCTTATTGTACTATGATCTGAAGAGCAATTATGTAACTCAGATGAGAATAGTTTGCCGGTGGGATTCACTCCGCAATGCAGTCGGATATTAGTTAAAAAACACCAACCGCGTAAAAAGTTTACTGAAAAGAGAACATTTCATTTTTCCTACTGTGTTATGTACAAAATATGTTTAAATATGTTTAAATATCCATCAAGCCGCTTACGCTAAGAAAGCGTGCCAAAGATATACATGCATACAAACAACACATATATAATAATAATAATTAACACAAATAAAGATTTATTATTATTACTATACACCTGAAAAACATTACAATCTTTCTGGGAAACTTGGGTAAAAAAAATATTTTTTTTATTAATTATTATCACAAAGTATTATTTCAAGAGAGAGTAGTAAGCCTCAATAGCCGAGCACTTACTAATACAAACTAATTACAAAGAGGTATATATAGTTAGTTATAAGTTGACCTATAATCGTTACTGATATATTAATTTTTATCATACAACAAAAGTAAACGGCAAACGTTAAACAAGGGTAACCACCAAACTTATACATATAATTGCACTACTGTACTAAGATCGTCAATCCGTTTGCCAAGCGTGACTTTAAAAATAAATAAAATTCTAAAAAATCATTCATTACACAAGCGTTGACTTGATAATAGATAGACGCAAAGGGGGGGGGGGGGGGGGGATGGTTCATAGCTGCCACGCTTGACAAGCAAGTCCACAGCCGCAGTTTTTATTATTTTGAATTGATATCACGAAGATACTGTTGCCCATCTTTTTGCTTATTACCCATAATCGCATTTCACGACACCTACGCAATAAAATGAGGTGCCCGATAACTTTACGCCGCAACCACATGGCGTAGAAAATCTAGAACTTCCTATTTTTCATTTAATTGCGAAATTGCCTTCGCAAAATATTAATACTACGAGTTACTCATACTCGTATTATTCGGAAATATCCTTGTGTATAGTGACGGTAATTGGCGTTTCGCCCCGTAGATATTGGTGACGAGAATAAGTGTCAAATGTGCAAGAAAGACATTTGGTACTACAATCTCCAATCCGCCAGCCAAGCGTGGCAGTTACAACAAAATTTTCCCTGCAATAGGAGACCCCATGTCCAACAGTAGTACGTCACGGGCTAATAAAAAGATATGTACATAAAACATGAAATATGAGCTAAAGGTATATTGCAACATTTTAGTTCTATTTCCGAAATAAGGTAATAATATTGAAATATGAAGTTAATGTATGAAGACGGAAGAAGCCTTCTGTGGAAAGTAAATAAATAAACTTTAAGAAAAACTAAAAACCGACTCCAAAAAAATCACACGTGCTATAAGTAAATCCTTTATATGAAATGAAATATGAAACAAAAACATTTCACAGCAAATTATTTATTTAATTCGATAATTTTCAACTACAAGTGTGGCATAAAATATAAGATAAAAGTATAATTTTATAGCAAATAAATGTGGATTGTAATTGTTATTTTTAGACATGTAGAGTCTTAATTTTAGTGTATTAAAACAAAATAATATTTTCATTCGACTAAAATTGGTTTGTAATAGGGATGTCTACTTCATTCTTTAAGTAGGTAAAATCATTTTATCCAACGAAAATTGATTGACTCTCATGGTGGGCCGTAAAATAGTCACTAGATGGAAAAAAAATCGGTAAGAAATGAAATCGCAGATTGTTAAGAATGATTTGTGTATGAACATTTTATTCAATATTATTAACCATATTTATTTGTTAATTAAAAGTAATATTTTATTTAATTAAAAGTTATATTTTATTTGTTAAATAAAAGTTATTATTAAAGCACCGCACACAGAGGAGACTGAGATAATAGGAAACACTTTATACTGAACTAGCTGTTCCCCGCGGTATCATTCGTGTATATCACGTGTCTGAGCCGTGCGACATGACACCTCGCTTATAGCAAGCATAGTTTAAAGAAAGTATAGTATAGAGGCGTTCATTGTTGGTTTCACCTAGGTTCTCATCGGGTGACTAGTCGTCGTTCGCGCGCCGAGTCGAGTGCTGAATTGTTTTAAAACTATGCGTCCAAATTACATGTTATGAATAGCAAAGTTTATCTTCATTACATTGTCTTGATAATGAAGTATTAATTACACCATGTTGTCTAATAATAACGCTCACATATCGCTTTTTGATTTTCAATATTTTTGTCACAAAATACCTTTTTGTGGCTTATGAATAAGAAATTGCTCTTTGGTATCGCAGACTTTTTAATGAAGGAAAGATCTATATTTATGTAGAACATAGTATTTACGTATCACTAATCATTACGACAGCAGACGTGGGTAACGCAGTTCGGGAGCGCCTTTTCTTCCTACTTCCTAAACAATATTTAAGGCTATCTGAGAGGTGTAGTCTAATGCTACATAGACTACACTATTCCTCGTGACTCTGAATATCATATAAAAAAGAATTTATCAAATCTGACTGATAGTTCCAGAGGTTAGCCTGTTTAAAACAAACAAAAAAACCTCTTCAGTTTTACTATATTAGTGTAAATTCTATCTAATTCTCTCGTAGGCCTTTCTTATAGATTTATATATTTGTCTCTTTTTACTGTCGCTTTTTTTATAGAATAGGGGCAAACGAGCATGCGGCTCACCTGATGGTAAGTGACTACCGCCGCCCATGAACAACCGCAACACCAGGGGAATTGCAGATGCGTTGCCGGCCTTTTAGAAAGGTGTAAGCTCTTTTCTTGAAGGTTCCTAAGTCGTATCGGTCCGGAAAATTCGCTGGTGGTAATTGATTCCACAAAGAAGTTGTGCGAGGGAGAAAACTTCTTCTAAATAGCACAGTGGTGGACCACCAATCATCCAGACGGTATGGATGATAACGCGAGTTTTGTCGCGATGTGCGATAGTGAAATTGAGCGGCTGGAATTAGTCCGAACAAATCCTCAGAGCACTCCCCGTGATAGATGCGATAAAATACGCAAAGAGATGCAACATCTCTACGCAGTGCCAGTGTATCGAGCCGATCAGAAAGAACTCGGTCGTCGACGATTCGAATCGCTCTATTGAGTTTCACATCATAAGGATGCTAAACAGGTTTACCTACGAAAAAATATAATTTCCATATACAAGCTTCTGTAATCGTAGCTTAGACCTAGTGTATCGAAGAATTAAAAGGCGAAAAATAATTTATTATTTGAATTTTTTAATTACAGTACTACTTTACTTTTTGATCTAAGATATTATTTTTTAAGTTAAGGTGATAACTATAATGCCATTGAAATGTTTACGTTAACACCTTCAACTCCTATTTTCCACCTACTTTATTCGGGATCAGTCCTGAAGTATAAAATCTCTATATATAAAAGTCAATTGCTGTTCTGTCGCTTAAATTCCAAACAGCTCAAACGGCTTTGATGAAATATTTTGTGTGTGTTTACATAGGTCTCTAGTTGGTTTAAATCATCATGAAATCGGGACATCGGAATCATAGAATCGGAAATTGATTTAGCAGTTTTTGAGAAATCGGTGAAAAGTTACATAGTAAACAAACGCGTCGTCTATAAAAATCTTCATCATTTTTTGAATTCGATTAGAAATGTATTGCTATAAAATTATATAAAATATAGTTGACGTAACTCTGTTAATCATTACAGACCTCAACACAATCTTATTGACGTGTGGCAGCCAGATATATTTATATTAATACTGCGTAGCAGAAGTAACGCCAACTCAATGCGGCGTATGATATTAAATAAAATAACCGAAGAAAAACATTAATTCTGCGACATTCTTATATTCGGGAGTATCCTCATCTACTTTCCAAAGGTAATTTATCACGAAAGGATGTTGTCATAATAAAACAACGAGGACATTAGTATTTCGTATGATACCGAAAGTGATTATAATACTTATAAAGAAAACGGGTTTGTATTATCGAATTTTGATTTTAAATATGAAGGTTTTTATTACAACTTCCAGGAAGCATTTTGTCTGAAACCAACAAGAAAAAAACACAGAAACAAGCAGCATATGGGCGGCATCATCTTTCTGATAAGAGAAATAGTATAATAAAAACTGCGGTTACCAAATCGCTCACCAAGAGTGGCAACTACGGCAAACATCACTCATGAGCAACGAAACAAATTAAAGGCCCCCAGTCCCCGGTGGCCCCACTACTCATGACTAAGATAGCGACCATGGTAACGATGAGGTGCTCAAAATTTCCAGAAGATGTTCGGTTGCCACTTAAGACGACTCGACCTGGCAAAATACAAAGCACAAAGAGCTGGAAGAAGAGATGGACAAGTTGCGCTGAAATATTATTCTACGTGGTAGAGCCATGCTCCAGCTATATTATGGTTGTAGCACGAATGGGTCGGCTCGAACGAGGAAGGACCACGTTCTCACAGAAAACCAGCGTAAAATAGCAGCTTAACGCTGCTGTGTTTCGTATGGTGAGTGTAGAGAACCGGAGACCCTTTTTACTGGCAAAGAGGTATTCCATCTTAGTCCTCACGGGTGACAACGCATCTGCATCTTGAGTCTTTATTGAGGATAGATGTAGATGTCTATGGGTCACAGTAACCACTTACCATCAGGTGGACTGTGTGCTCGTTTGTCACCCGATCCTATAAAAAAAATAGGATTATTCGAATTTCGAAGAGAGGGGGAAGACACGGTAATCCTTAAATCCGGCAATCTAATCTATCACCGGAAGGATGATTATTTTTCCCAAGGAGGTGTCACATTTATCGTCCACAATACAGCCGTTAACAACGCTCTAAAGATTGTGAGTGTCTCGACGACGGTTGCGTACCTTATACTCAGAATCGCCAATCGGTATTTGTTGAAGGTCATACAGGTTTACCCACCAACCTCGGCACATCCCG